TGAGGCACTGCAGAAGATGTTCAGCTAGCCTCCGAGTTCCAACCAGTCACTTCCATCACCTTCATCTAATGTCGAACAGCATACTAGCCTCTTAGCACATCAAGGTACACTGTCCGTTGCTTTTAGTGTTCAAAATAATCAACCAAAACCATGGATCGTTGATTCAGGAGCCTCAGACCATATGACTGGAGATTTCAGTATTCTAATGGATTTTCAGCCTTCCTCCAATCACTCGGGAGTCAGAATTGCAGATGGCACAATTTCCCCGGTTGCAAGAACCGGATCTATTCGTATAACAGGAGACTTACAACTTTTATCTGTTCTTTATGTTCCAAAGTTGAACTGCAATCTACTTTCTATCAGTCAAATTACTCGGGATCTCAAGTGTCTCACTAAATTCCATTCTAATTCTTGTGTTTTTCAGGCAGTGGATTCGGGGAAGGTGATTGGCAGTGCTGATATGCATGGAGGACTTTACTTGCTCAAACAAAAGGACCTCCCGAGTAGACAAGTTCATCAATCAAGTTGTGTCTTCGAGTCTGTCAAGTTTGCTTCTAGTTCTGTGTCCGTTTCCAATTCTAATTCAGTCCCAGTTGAGAGTCAAGTCATGTTGTGGCATTATCGCCTTGGTCATCTGAATTTTGCTTATATTGAAAAATTGTTCCCTCATTTGTTTATCAATAAAAATTTCAGTTCTTATCAATGTGAAATTTGTCAATTAGCAAAGCATACCCGACATGTATACTCAAGTCTTCAACACAAACCATCACACCGTTTTTCAGTAATCCATAGTGATATTTGGGGGCCATCACGAGGGAAAAATATCAATGGGGCTAGGTGGTTTGTCACATTTATTGATGCTCACACAAGAACCACTTGGACTTTTCTCATGAAAGAAAAATCCGAAACAGCCACAATTTTTTAATCTTTCCATACTATGATTTTAACCCAGTTTAAAAGCCATATCCAGGTCCTCAAAACTGACAATGCCAAAGATTATTTCAACTCCATACTCGGTCCTTACTTGTCAAACCATGGAATTGTACACATCAGTTCTTGTGTGGACACCCCACAACAAAACGGGGTGGCTGAGAGGAAAAATAGACACTTACTGGAAGTAGCCCGTGCCAATATGTTCACAAATAACGTCCCAAAACATTTTTGGGGGGAGGCTGTACTCACAGCCACCTATCTCATCAACAGGATGCCAAGCCGAGTCTTGAAATTCCAAACACCTTGTCAAGTCCTCACCACAATACACCCACACATTCTTACTTTTACTTCTGACCTCCCACTTAAAGTCTTTGGCTGCACTTCCTTCGTCCATATTCCTCACAATCATCGTACTAAACTCGATCCAAAATCACTCAAGTGTATATTTCTTGGTTACTCCTCCCATCAAAAAGGTTATAAATGTTACTCTTCTCGTACCAAGAAAGTCTACAATTCCATGGATGTCACCTTCTTCGAGAGTCAATCATACTTTCCCAAATCTGACATTCAGGGGGAGAGTTCCAAGGAATATTAGATTTGGGACCTTCTTCATGACAATCAATCCGTGTTTGTAAATCCTAGCTCAGCCGCCACTGTTCCTGTTCTAGCTGTTCTTGCTCCAGCCGAACAGCCTTTAAATCCCAGTTCAGCCACTGTTCCTGCTCCTGTTCACAGGCCTACCACTGTTCAATCCGTTCCTAGGCAGCCTATCACAGAAACAACCCAAAATCCGTTGCAACTTGATACTAATACTCTGCAAACTCAGTGCTTACAATCACAAGAACCAAATCCTACTGTATCTGACACTCACAATAGTATGGATTCCTCTCCTCCGTATACTCATGCTCTTATGATTAATGATTCAAATCTGCCCATTGCTAATAGGAAATGGGTTCGTGGATGCACTGAACATCCAATTAAGAGGTATGTTGCATATGGAAAATTGTCTCCATCCTACAAGGCATTTGTCATGAATCTGGATAGTGTCAAAATGCCTGAATCTATTCAGGAGGCTCTTATGAGGGCGGAATGGAAGAAAGCAGTAGAAGAGGAGGTTCGGGCCTTAGAGAACAATAATACCTGGGTCTTGACACCATTACCACCAGGTAAAAAACCGGTTGGGTGCAAATGGATTTTCACTATCAAGTACAAGGCTGATGGAAGTATAGACAGGTTCAAAGCAAGACTCGTGGCAAAGGGGTTCACTCAATCCTACGGAATTGACTATCAAGAGACTTTTGCACCGGTGGCCAAACTAAACACAGTTCGAGTGTTACTCTCCTTGGCAGTAAATCAAGATTGGCCACTATATCAGCTTGATGTCAAGAACACATTCTTGAATGGAGACCTTGAAGAGGAAGTCTACATGACCATACCTCCTGGACTAGAAAACAGGTCAAATTGAAAATTAGTGTGCAAATTGAAGAAGTCATTGTATGGCTTGAAGCAGTCTCCTCGTGCATGGTTTGACAAGTTTGCTAGAACTTTGAAAGACAATGGGTACGTGCAGTGTCAGGCAGATCACACGCTGTTTGTTAAAAGTGGATCAGGAGGAAAAATGTCCATTCTACTAGTCTATGTGGATGACATCATTCTAACTGGAGATGATTCAGAAGAAATTCTGAGGCTGAAAAAGGTAATGGCAACTGAATTTGAGATCAAAGACCTCGGGACACTAAAGTACTTTCTAGGAATGGAGGTGGCTCGTTCAAAGGAGGGGATTGTTATATCCCAAAGGAAGTATATCCTAGATTTGCTGAATGAAACAGGGTTTCTTGGCTGCAAACCCATCGATACGCCCATGGATTCAACAAAGAAAGTGAATCGAAGTGAAGAAAGCACGCTAGTTGACAAGGGAAGGTATCAAAGACTGGTTGGCAAGCTTATTTACCTCTCACACACTCAACCTGATATTGCTTATTCGGTGAGTATGGTCAGCCAACATATGAATAATCCAACAGAGGATCATTTAGATGCAGTGAATAGAATCTTGAGATACTTGAAGATGACTCCCGGTCATGGTTTACTCTTTAAGAAGAGTGAAATCCGAGAAGTAGAAATCTACACGGATGCAAGTTGGGCAGGGGAACAAACTGATAGAAGGTCCACTACAGGCTATTGCTCTTATGTTTGGGGGAATCTAGTCACTTGGAGAAGCAAAAAATAGGCTGTGGTTTCCCGTAGCAGTGCAGAATCAGAATACCGAGCTCTTGCCCTTGGTATATGCGAAGGAATGTGGTTACAGAGATTGTTAAGAGAACTCAAGGTTGAAGTTCAAGCCTCGGTGAAGATGTTTACTGACAGTCAGGCAGCCATCAGTATAGCTAAGAATCCGGTGCATCATGATACGACAAAACATATTGAGATTGATCGTCATTTTATCTCTAAAAAGGTGAACACTGGAATCATTCAGCTCAGCTATATTCCTACAAGACAGCAGATTGCTGATGTCCTCACCAAAGCACTTCCAAGAGCCAGTTACGATGAGTTGAACTCCAAGCTTGGCTTGTATAACATATACAACCCAGCTTGAGGGGGAGTGTGGAAATAAGGAGACGTGTTAGGAAGATTAAGTTAGGAGATTTAGTTAGTTAGTTTCCTTATTTAGAAAAGATTAGATCTTATTTAATTGTTGTCTTACCAAAGTTAGGAGATTGTAATCTAGGTTAGTTATTATTTTATTTTGACTTCCTGATTTGTAGGAATTCAGTTTCCTATTTTGATGGTCTAGTATGCCAGCCCTTAGCCTATATATTAGAATGTAAACTATTGGTTCAATTCAAGAAATAAATTCATGATTTCTTCAGTTATAAAGAGTGTTGTAACACTTTCTGTAACACTGGTGATTAATAGAAATTTCTGGATTCAGCAACAATTAGCTGAACGTGCAGAAAAATAATGCAAAACCATAAAGAACACTAGGAATTGGTATCGCGGTTCGATATGCACACCTACATCTGCGGGGCCACGCCCAGACAGTGAACAATCCACTAAGATAAAATGATTAAAAACACCGCTCGGTCTTACACACTCAAAGACTCCCTCCTTGTGGAGCACCATTCGTCTTCGAACTGCTCAGAGAACTCCCTTCGACTGGCAGTGAGCTTTCTCCTGAAAGCAACAAGTCCTCCCGAAAACAATCTTTACACAAGCAGCAACAAAACTCATACACAGAGCTCATTCACTGAAAATATTCTCTCAATACAAGCCACATGCCCACATTCAACACACCTTAACCAAAAGATACGTGCAGCACCATACACCGTGCATAGACTTTTTCTAAGTATTTTTCACGATAATTGCCTGCCAAGTGAGCTGCGAAAACACACCTTAAAGAAGGCTTTTTAATATCACAAGAATCACTCAAAACAATCACCACGATTCTTTCCAAATAAATCTCCCAAAACTGCGTAAAAAAACTTGGATACAAAAGAATAAATCTCCCAAGACTGCACAAAGAACCTGGATACGAAAGAGATCAAATTCAGATTACACAACCCTCACACCTTCTTTTGAGTGCAAGACTTCCTTTTAAAACACAAATCTAAATCACACAAATAAATACCATATTCGGATTTAGCACCAATCAAATCCGAGAAATATCATGCAAATTCTAAACCGAATTTCCTTTGAAATTAAGCAGCCCATATCTTCTCTTCAAAGTCAAAATCCGAAACTTTCCAAAAGCACCACAATCTCAATCAATCACAGCCACCATGTTTCTAAAATAACTCCCATGAAACCTTCTTCAGAAACAAATCAATTAAGCCACAAATATTGCAGTACCAACTCCGCCAAAACACCAAATCTACTCCTTTCCAATTAAAGCCGAGAAGACCAATTTAATCCTTTTCAAAATTAAAGTCAAAACAACTTTTTCTCTTCGTCATAACTCAATCCTCAAACCTGCACCATGATCAAGTAGTACCTGTTTTTGAATTTACATGCACGTTGCCAAAACATGCCAACTAGACAAAATACGTAACAAATACCACACGTCATCACAGGTGACTAGAAGCGTCGATACTGATGGTGGGCAGTTAAGCCCACAGGAAAAGAAAACGGTTGAAGCAATTGTGAAGGCAAGGTAGTTGGTTTATTTCTCGAGTCTTTTTATCTCATCTTTTTCCAAGGAGCTTCTTGACATGCAATTCAATTTGCAGCGATTACCCGTTGTCAATTATCCTTGTTGGGGTCGGAGATGGACCATGGGACATGATGAGGGAATTTGATGATAACATCCCGGCCCGGGCATTTGATAACTTCCAGGCAAGTACTAGATAGTAGTTGAAAATCACTTCTCCTGCCCATCCATGTTATCACTCAGATGTTTAATTGAGAAATTCTGTTCTCTCTTTTGGCTTCTGTAGTTTGTGAATTCCACAGAAATCATGTCGAAGAATATGGACAGATCCAGAAAAGAAACAGAATTTGCTCTTGCAGCCTTGATGGAAATACCATCCCAGTATCAAGCAACTCTGGAGCTCGGTTTATTGGGGTAACAATCTCTATCTCCTGCGTGATTTGAATCAATGATTTTGCTACTCGAGTCAGTGCCAAATTTTAATTCCAAAATCATCTTTTGCGACATTGCTCAAACCAGTGTTAGTAGGGGAAAGGCTATAGACAGAGTTCCTCTTCCGCCTCCTCTCTATGGGTCGGCTTCATTCAGCGCCCCAAAGCCTTCACGTTCAAGCGGTTATCACCCAAGCGCACCTTCTGCCAGAAGACATGATGCCGGTGTCAGCGGGGCGACTTCTGCTAGTTCTACTTCTGATAATCTTGTACTTCACCTTCTCGTCTTAAAGTTGTTTTGCCTTCAAATATCATTCTAGTCTTTATGGTTACCACTTATCATCTTCAAATATCGCGTCTGACTTGGATACTGAACTTTTCTTTCGTGATCCCGACAGCTTTGTCCTATTTGCATTAGCAATCCAAAGAACATGGCCTTCGGTTGTGGCCACCAGGTGAGCTAGCTTTGCTTATCTTTACTCTTTGTTTACCTTAAAGCATTAGACGCATAAATGGATATCAAAATCATGTCTATATAATTTGCAGACATGTTGCGAGTGCGGAGAAGATCTTGATGTGTGCCCAATATGCCGAAGCAGTATTCAAACAAGAATAAAGCTCTATTGAAGGTGTTAAAAGTTTTGTGCCTCCATTTGAAAATAAGGAAAACATTTTGGTCCGTAATTGACTGGATGGGGTATTTATTAGATCTCCTTAATTTCATTGTGAAGTTGGACTACTCAGCAAATCTCGTGCCTTTTGTACATATTCCAGTTTTCTGTCAATTCTAATAAAACTTTGTCACTATTAGTTCTATGTTTTTTTTAATGGAATAATTAAGTAATATGTTTCTTCTTTTGAATTAACAAGTTGGTAGACTTAAATGCTAGTTAAGCTAATATATATGCCCATGTTTGTTTCGACAATCCGAATAGTTGTTTAGGATTCAATTCGTAGTTTAGAATTCAAATTGATGTTTAGAAGAGAAAAATTCAAGGACAATTCAACCTATTAACAATGATTCAAACTATTGATTTTAGAATTCACCATCCTCTAAATTTTAACAATCTTAATTGTTCTCTACAGTGAAAACAATTTTGATTCTATTTTTTCTCTCTTTAATTTTAAGTTTAAAAATGCCATAATTTCTTCGTTTTAATTCCAACTGAGATGATTTATTTTTAATGTGTTTATAATGAAGAGATGAACAAATTCTCATCAATATTGCATATTTTTAGATTTCATTTACAATGAGATTTTATAAGATTTGTTACAAAATTCTAATTACAGTTTTTAACACTTTATCTAAACACAGTTTGAATTTTATTCTTAATTCAAATTATAATTTATTTACATATTTAAACACCTGTTTAAATTATAATTCAATTTACCGCAATTCAAATCATCACAACTCAAGTCAGATCAACAATTTGAATCATCAACAATTTATTTATTTATTTATTTTCATTTCCTTGAACTTGGGAATGAAGGGATTCGAACTCTCAATCTCAACACTGAAGGTTGGTGCAGCCTAAACCAACAAAGCAACTTGCTCTCTAAATTTCTATTTTGACAATTTATCCTTTCAACTTGTAAAACTATTACAATGCGTTCCTTTTATTAATTTCCTTTGATTTTTTTTATTAAATTTAAGGGATCGAGAGATTTGTGATATAATTTAAATTGGGATGGAATTTTTCATAAAATGTGTTTTTTGGTCACTAATTTAGCATAATGTCTTCGTAATGGGGTACATTGCAACCATTGTGCAAGTTGACCGTTGGCAACAAATTTCAATACTAGAAGTTTAATTAAAAGTTGAGATATTTACATTTTTAAACCCTATATTTTAAGTTTATTCAAAATCTATACCTTCACTTTTTAATATCATTAAATGTATACTTTCAAATTTAATTTAATATACAAATCTATTCCTTATCTAGGTCAATAATTAATTTTGACCTTTAAAATGATCAAACTATCCTTAAGAAAAAGAGAGAAAGTAAAACTAAAACTTTTCAACACTACAAAAAATAAAAATTAAAAACACAAAAAAAAAACCTCATTTCAATGATATTTTGGATTTTTTTAAGGTTAAAACCGTAAGTTTAAATTTTTTTTAGTTTTTTTTTTTTTCCATTTTTATTAAGGGTACTTTAGGTAATTTATGCTTAAAATTGAGAGTTGACTGTGAAAAAATATAAATTTGAGTATTAAATCTAATTTGAATGTATACATTTGATGAAATTATTAAAAACTGAAGGTATAATTTTTGAATAAATCCAAAATACAGGGTATAAAAATGTAAATATCCCTTAAAAGTTTAAGAGGCAAGTGGTAATAAAAAATATACACTATATAACTTTATTGCATTGTAAAATATACTATGGTTCTTACTTTTTTAGTGGATTATCTCGGGGAAAGGATTACTATTTGTTCTATTCTTTTAGTAAGAAAGTCTTTCAATAATAATAGAACAATTTTGTTCGTAGGAACAAAAAGAAACAGATTTATTCTACACTCGATAAGTACCAATACACAATGATAGGTCGTTGATAGCATTTTATATGAGTAACTACATCTATATTTGTTCATCATCCAAAGGATCCACTTGTGAAATGTACAGAATACATAAATATTACGTTGTGTCGGTGACTTTGCAGTTGGTGTTATGTCCTGCATATTGTGAACTTATTTTCATTTTCCATTGTGTTAAGGTTTATCTAATTACATGATCAATGAGTACAGTTTAAAGCTTTATTCTTATGAATAAGTTTAAGCAAAAATGTTATTATTAAGGCATATAGAATTCTAGTATATATTCCTAGTTTTTTTTAATTAAAAAATGTTCGTTTAAAAAAGAATGTTCATTCCTAGCTCTGCTTATGAATTTGGCTTAATTGCTGTGTTAGTTTAGCTTCAGTTGTTTGGCGGTCCTCTGCTGTCTCTTTTTTGCCCTATTATATATCTGTCCATTCAATAAAAACTATGACACTTTATTTAATTGTTCAAGTAATTTACTATTATGATCAGGTAGTTAAATTTAACAGGTAAACATGTAATAGAAAACATGAAAAATGGGAACGATATATCTTGACTTCATGATCTACGTCACCATCATTTAGGCACTTACCAGCACTCAACAACGTTATTGCATTTTCAGTTAGCCACCGAGTGTTCATCTCCAAATTTGCCGGGACAGTGCCATCAGCCAAAGACTCATTCTTCACAAACTAGAGGATTCTTAGGACTAAATGAACCTTATTAAATTTTCACCAAACCACACTTGAGCCAACAACAAAAAAAAAAAAAAAAAAAAAAAAAAAAAAAAAAAAAAAAAAAGACAAAAAGACAATTTCACCAAACCACATATACCAAATCCATTCCTTAATTTATTGCATGCATCAAAACTCCAATTCTTTACTTGCATTAAATCCTTACAACCACCACTTTTTCTTAGAATGGACCTTCTATATTTCAGCAAACTAATTCGCTCCTTTTGAGTGCATGATAATACGCCAAGTGAACTGACTTCACTTCTTGAATGCACTTTAAAAAAAATAAATAAATAAAAACTTTTCTCTGTATATAAAGCCCTACTTCACCTTATTCTTTTCATCACACTAGTACTACTTAAAAGTACACACACAAAACTCTCTCTAACATGGCTAATAAAAATCACTCCAGTCTCATTATCAAACTCTCCATAATTTTTGTCATCTTCTCACTCCACTTCTTTGGACATGTCAACGGTGTCCAAAGCTCATCAGGAGCTGATCATCATGATCACAGGCAAGGCCGGTGGGAGCTTCTACTAGACAACGTGGGAGTTGTGGCCATGCACATGGCGCTCACTCACCGCAACACCGTCGTCATCTTCGACCAGACCCGGGCGGGCCCGTCTCGGTACCGCCTCCGCCGCCGCTTCGGCAGCGGGCTGCAGTGCGCTTCCTCGGGCGATGACGCGTCCGACTCCGGCTGCTACGCCCACTCGGTGGAGTACGACATCTCTAGCAACCAAATCAGGCCCATGAGGCTGGACTCCGACCCGTGGTGCTCCTCCGGGTCTTTCCTCAGCAATGGGACGCTCCTGCAGACCGGCGGCAACGGCGGAGGCTCGCGGAGGATCCGGTACTTCGCGCCTTGCGGCGACCACAGCTGCGACTGGCGGCAGTCGAGCCGGAGGCTGTCGGAGGAGCGGTGGTACGCGTCGAGCGTGGCGTTGCCGGAGAAAGATCGGGTGATGGTGGTCGGAGGGAGAAGGGTTTTCAGTTATGAGTTTGTTCCGAAGACGAATTCGGAGGAAAACGCTTTCCATCTTCCGCTTCTTCGCAGTACTTACGAGCGGCGTTCTCAAGGGAATAACCTCTATCCCTTTGTCCACCTTTCTTCCGACGGTAATATTGTTGAAATTGATTGAAAGCATATATAACTTATATATCATACTAATGACATAGCAAATTAACATATATATCTTTTGGCAATACCGGATAAGTAATATTACAACATTCTCATGATCATTTTTTCAGAATAAGACTAGCAATTTTTTCTAGGAGCATTTTTTTTTTCCCTATATCATGGTAAATTTGTATAATCTTAGCTAAACTCATAATATTATCAAACATATATAACCCTTTTCTTTAAACAAAATTATGCATTCATATATCAAATTTGGACGTCCAACTAATTAAGGTTCTATACAGTGTTAGATAAAGCTTCACGCACTACCGGATGATCGATCCCAATCAGAGAATTTAAAATTGTAAATTTTATTCTTAAAATTTTTTCTAATCAATTACATTTCTATTGTATAAAAAAAATTATATATATAGCTGTACTTGCACTTAATAAATACAAAATATATACAACTATTTTCTTATTCAATGAAAAATTATTCTAATTTTTTTCCATAATGCTCCAAGGTTTTTTCTCTCTCTTTTTGGATGAGTATTTTTCAACTACTAGCTAAGAATACGTAATAGTAATATATATTTTTAGGCATCTAATCACTTCGCAGCAGTGATATTATCATGTTAAATTAATATTCTCAAATACAGCCTAGATAGTCTAATAAAAATAATGAGCAATGATTTGAACAGGCAATTTGTTCATCTTCGCCAACCAGGACTCAATCCTCTTCAACCACAGACGCAACAGAGTGGTGAGGACCTTCCCAAGAATCCCAGGAGGCGGTTCAAGGAACTACCCCAGCACCGGCTCCTCCGTCATCCTCCCTCTAGACCACCACAATAACTTCCAACGTGTTGAGGTCATGATCTGCGGCGGAGCGGCCTCCGGGGCCTACCGGTCTGCCCGGCAAAGCCACCGGTACCTCGAGGCCCTGAGCAGCTGCGGAAGAATGGTGATCGCTGACAACTCGAGCGAGAGATCGGAGCCGAGGTGGCACATGGAAGACATGCCCGACCCCCGGCTCATGAATGATATGATCATCCTCCCCACCGGCGATGTTTTGATCATCAACGGCGCGAAGCGCGGCGCCGCCGGGTGGGAACGGGCCACGAACGCCTCCCGCCGGCCTTTCCTATACAAGCCTAATGAAGCGCGGGGAAGGAGATTCTCTCTTTTGAGAGCCACATCGATTGCTAGAATGTATCATTCGTCGGCGGTTCTTTTGCCTGACGGGAGGGTTCTTGTGGGAGGTAGTAACCCTCACAACAGGTATGTATGAGAAATATTAATGTATGAACTAAACTTATTTAACAAGTTAACTGGGAGTGACCGTTTCTTTCTTTATTTAAGCGGGGAAAAAAAATCGTTGATAGACTAATGAGATAGACGGTTTCCTTAAATCGAAAAAACTGTTTAAACCTTTAGAAGAAAACTCAAATTTAAAGTAATATTGATTATAGTATTGTCTCTCAATTAAATTATACTAGCATTTAAATATATATGTAACATGCCAATTGCTAAAAAAAAATTTAATGTGACAAACTTAGATCACAACAAAATGGTTAATTGTGTATGGTTATAATTAATATACACATACATATACATACACATGCATAGATGCAGACATATAATATACATATACACACACATCACATCTCAAAACAAAAAAAACTTATTCACGGTTTCACCATACTGTTTTGCCACGTCAATTTGTAAAGTTATAATGAACTTTTTGTAAGGTAAAATTATAATAAACTTGAATTGGCATGATACAGTACAAATTATGATATAAATTCCGAGACAAAAATTGTAATTGGTGACTAAAATATAAATAAGGCACTTATTCAACATATATACACTCTTAAAATTGTACGACAATGAAATAATTATATATTTTTACAGGTACCGATCCGGGCGCAACGTCGCGTACCCAACCGAGCTAAGGCTACAAGCCTTCGTTCCACACTACATGCACGAGCAGTACCACGGATATAGGCCAACTAACATTACCATACATTATGCGCCCGAGAGTCATGGCTCTGGCGCTAGGTACGGCGAGGAGTTTAGGGTTCAGTTTTGGTTGGGAAGGAGGCCGAGTGACGACCTCGAGTTCACGGCGTACCCGCCGCCTTTTACGACGCACTCGATGTCTATGAACCAGCGGTTGCTGAGGCTGAGGCCGAGGAGTGTGGAGAGGCGGCAGGGTGGGTGGGTGAGTGTCGTTTTGGAGGCACCACCTTCCCCTAATGTAGCTCCCTCCGGTTATTATTTGCTTACTGTTGTGAATGGAGGGATTCCTAGTCAATCTCAGTGGCTTAGGTTCATACATCATGCAAATTAGTGTTTTTTTTTTTTTTTTTCTTTTTTGGTGTGTACCGTACTCCCTTTAAGAAGTTATTCCAAATTATGGGGGTAGAGAATAAGAGAGAATGGCACTTCATGTATTATGTATAAGAACTTAAAGCCATCATTTGGACGGGAGTAGCTAGGTTTGTAACAGTCCATATATATGAGAAGCGTCGTCTTTTCCCTTCCTGCCTCAAAGCATACATTAGTGTTTATGTGTAATATTTATCTAGATTAATTTTATAAATACCCCTTTAAACTAAGAACAATTTTTAAGAATATCATAAAAAAGATAACAATATTTTATTTTTACTATCACTTTTAAATTTATCATTCATGTCATTAATATTCTGATAAAATAGTTTTCATATTTTATTAGAATGTTCTTTTTTCTTTACCAAGATATTTTTTGTATACTATCATAATACAACATGTCACTCAAATTTTGATAAAAAAAGGTTCATTTCTACCTCAAAGCATGTACCCTACTTAAAACACCTCTCTCCATTCACGATACAAATAAAATGATGATATGAAATTACTTATAATTTTATAAATGCCCATCATATTATTGATTTTAAATCAATTATTACTTAAATTATTAATTTTGTGTCAACTTACCTTTAATTATTTTTAAAATACAGGGGAGTAGACCCCGTTTAGTTCTCTGATTCGAGTTTTTAATTCGAGTTGAGATGTGACTTTATGTGAGAATTTTTTACTGTAGTAAAAAAGTTAGATGTGATTATTTCTGAGAGCTTTTTACTATAACAAAACTTAAATTCTAAACTCAAATTAGTAAAATTAACGAGACCTAAGTTGACATAACATTAATAGTTTGGCGTCAGGTGATTTATATATAAAATTACATTTAGTTCATATTGGGCCATATATGTGGTAATTGTAATGACTGAGAAAATTCCAGACCTTAAATAATACAATTCATGTATTTTTAAGCCAAGGATTTTCTTAGAAAATATTATGTTATATTGTGAATGGAGGATTTATGGAATTAATATATGTATTCCTAAATTCTATAGCAAATTTCATGTTAAGTTCATGTTTCGATCAAGTAAATTCGATCGATAAATTCTCGCCGTATTTTAAGGCGGAATAATTTTCAGTACAAGTATAGTTTGAGAATCTTAATTTCAAGAATCTCTAAGCACGGCACGATGTTAGCGGCGTATAAAAAAAACGCACTGGCATTTTAAACGAAGAAAAAAATCCTTAATTGCTAGACAGTTAGGTTAAAGTCGCAAGATAAATACCTATAGTAGATGGGTACAATATGAGCTCGGGAGTTGACACTGTCAGAAACGTCATTCTCGGGATAGAATACAGAAAATTAAAATTTAGAATTTGTTCAGTCTAAAATTAATTTTAAGACTTGAAACAGTTTGAAATATTACGCGAGTAAGAATATAAAACAATATTGAATTATTCAGAAATTGATATTGGACTGTAAGTAGTAGATTAACTTACGTAAGCTAAACTAATTACCTCTAATCAATATAAATTTAATCTGTTTAGAGGAAATAATTGAGGATAAGATCAGGCACGTAATCTTGCCTTAATCAGATACTTTATATAGTGAAATTTTTAGGGTTCTTGCACTTTCTTTCTCTTATTCTCGCTCATTCTCTCTCTCCTCTCACATTCTCTCTCACACAAACCATCAATGGCCAAATACTCAAGTTAAGATTCTGACCTCCATTTTTGACACCGCCGGTGTCAATAGAAAGATCTCGACGAGCTGAGTTCAACGACATGCGGCACGACCTCCAACTCC